TATATATATATTGAAAACATCAACAAATATTCTTCGGAAAAAGTTTATCAATGCCAAATGTCAAATTTTCATCTAAAACCAAGTAATTGGCCGAAAAAAAAGAAAAGTTTATAACTTAAATATGTTATAAAATCACTACAAAAATAGCCATTTTGTTTCAACACCCTCGGTGTCTTATCAAGTGATGATGTTGAATATAAAATAAATGGTTTTAAAAGTTTCAAATTAATTAACGATCCTTCGCTAGGGGAAAACATTGTTACAAAAGCTAGAATGACCAATATATATATATATATATATATATATATATATATATATATATATACGAGGGCCATTCAATAAATAAGGTGAATTTTTTGGTATAAGGACTTCTAATACAGATAGAAGTCTACTATTTTTTTATTTTTCAGCCTAGTCTCCCATCACTGTCACACACTTTTCCCATCTGTGCACAAGCTTCCGTATTTCCTCAGCGTATAAATCTTTGGACTGATATCTCAGCCAGTCGCTCACAACACTTTTGACTGCATCGTCACTTTTAAACTTCGTGCCTCTAGTGAACGCTTTCAAGGGACCAAACAGGTGAAAGTCTAAAGGGGCAAGGTCTGGGCTGTAAGGGGGATGAGGGAGCAGTTCCCAGCCCAGCTCGTTGATGGTCTGCACCGTTTGGGCTGCTGTGAGGCCTTGCGTTGTCATGATGCAAGATGACTCCTTCTGACTGATGAACCCTGCGTTTGTTCTTTATGTCTTTCTTGACCTGCCTCAGCAGTTCACAGTAGTTCTTCTGTCAGACTGAATGAATGAAGATCATTGCCTGTCTTCATTCTCAACACTGCTCCGTGATTCTTTAAATCAATTTAGCCCACTTGTAGACCTTTTCTTGTGGAAACATAGGCCCCTCCCAGGCCATGAATTTCAACTGGTTTTTCAATCCTGATAACTGACCGCTGTTCAATCCTGGAGCATGCTTCTTGGTCGGCCATCTTTGTTAATCGCCAAAACTCTCAATTTTTTTTTGTCTGCAAAGAAATTAAATCCATTGAAAAAAAGAAAAAAAAAAAAAAAAAAAACTTTTTATCTGTATTAGTCCCACCGAAAAAATTCACTTTATTTATTGAATGACCCTCGTATATATATATATATATATATATATATATATATATATATATACCGTGTTGTGCACTTTAAAAAAATTATAACGTTATTTGTATGAAATAATTTGTAAAAAAGGTGCAGGAAGAAGTAAACCATTGAAACATTTAAATTTCCAAATCATCATTAGCAATACAAAAGGTAATATGATTTTGCAGTTTCAACTGATTTAGAGTAATGCCTAAAATCACATTAGTTATTTTTCTTTCAAACTTCTAATGAAAACACAATTGTTTTCACATGTCCCCATAAAAAATCTAGTGGAGTGCGAACGTGGAACTTAAAATGGACGATTCATCTGTTAGGAAATTCCTGATTTTGTGGTAAAGAATTATTCAATAACTATATAAAACTAGGTATTAAATATATATTTATACAGATTATTTCTATCGCAAATACAAATAAAGTTATAAATTGGACACCATGAACTTTATATATATATATATATATATATATATATATATATATATATATATATATATATATGTTTCATTAAATAATATAGACAATTGTTGTATATTTATTTTATGTAAATTCTTTTCATAAAGTCTGATAATAATCCAATCTAAGCTTTCGGCTTACATAAGCCATGATCAAAGATGACAATTACAGTATATTATGCAATACACGGACAATAATGTGATGATAGTCTGTTTCTGTTTACAGGGATGATTTCCAAGCAACGATAAACACGTGCATATAAGACGCTGGAAGCGAAAATCACGTTGCAGCTCGTGACATCACACATGATCACGCAAGAGTGAAAATGAGAAGTATTAAGTATGGGAGGCCGTTGGTATAAACCAATGACTTCTGTCACCAATTATAGAAATTTAAGAATATTTGTGGAGATTTCATAGTTTTTTTGTTCAGGTTAGGTTTCAATTGTTTTATGCATATAGCTTCATGAATTTTTAGCTTTTGTTTATTGTTTTCATGTTTATGCATAGTTGTGTTTTCTACAAGGATTTTACGGAATTATGTGTGGGGCCAGGCATGTTGTTTTAAATGCCTAAAAATGTTTGAGTTATCATTCAAATGTAGTGTCAAGCGTCGTGAAAGCGAGTTTGTGGTGTGACCAACATAAATATTATTTAATTCGTTGAATTTATAAACTATGTTGGTTTTTTGCAAATCGCTAACCGGCGGAGAAGAATTATTGCGTATAATTGAGTTGGATATACTAGATTTAGTGTAGTATATGATTAACTTAATTTGCTGCGACGACCAATGTGACTTGGTATTGGTCGCGGCACCAAATGTGACGTTCTAACCCTTTGCTGATTCGGATGGGAATCTGGTTAGATTCGGTATCAGCTTTGTCGTTCCCAGCTCGCCTCCAACGTCGGATTACCGAAGTAACTGCTTTGATTACTAGTCTAACCTACCCACGTTGTGATTTGATCTTAGGTAGACGAAATCAATCAGTCGCCGAGCCGCAATGCAAGCCGAGTCCGAACAAAGGTAAAACCGCACAAGTATATGTAAAAGAAAATAATGTAACAACTCGAAAAGTTCAAATGTGTTAAAAAAAGAATAACAAATATTTTTATATCTGGTTTCTGAATACAGGACTGCGTCTTTCTCCCAAACTGCTAATATGGATTCGTGACACTTTGTGTTTGTTAGGCGAGTCTTAACATCTTAAGTTGTTTGTTCTTTAAGAAACTGTTTTTTTTCTGTATCTTCAGGCGATATTCGTAAAACTTGTTTTGGTGGTGTGAGTCTAAAACGTTCTTCAAAAACAAATTGTTTTTGGTTAGAAGTTGAAGTCGGGATGCGTGGATATTCAGTCACCCCTCCCACGAGGGTGTCATATGGCACAAGGCCTTTTTAACGTGGGCATTCCGAGCCCGTGGGCTCGGCCAAAAATATGCCCATTGAACCCGTATAAACGGGTTCAGGGACGGTCTACCTCCCCGTCCGTAGGAAGAGAGTTCAACCGAACAGTCGCTCAGAAAGTACTGACTCGACTGACTGACTTCTACTCGCTGCGACTCTGCTTATATGGAGTGTGGGGTTTTCGTGGTTTGGGGTTCCTCGATAATTTTAATCCACAATAAGGATTTTCTTTGTTTTCGGACCGGAAAATTTATCACTTTCCATTTTTGGAAGTCCCCTACTTTTTGCTTTAGAGGGGTTCTTAAGGGATGCGTTCTCCCAAATTCCTCCTTTCTCATATTGGTATCTCACGCCAATCCCCTCAGAGGGCGTCAACAAGTTTCCCTTCTCTCTCACTGTGGTATCTCACACCAATCCCCTCAGAGGCGTCTTCTCTCTCACCGCCTACCGCTCACGCCACCATTCAGCCAATGAACGCTCAGCAGCGTGGGTGTGGCTAGACTGGCCTCAGTTTAAAAAATTCGCTCAAAGGAAAAAAAAAATTATCTTCCTTTTTTTTTATTTCTTTCTCTTCTCCGAGCAGACCTCCCACGACTCGTAGTGTGGTCCCTAATCTCTATCTTAACCGAATGTCGGCTGGAATTTGTCAACGATATTTTCGTCTAATAATCATCGGGGTTGATCAGTGAATCTCTTTGTCTCCTCAATGCCTACGTGCTTCCCTCGCCACAGTCTGTCCAGGCAACAAACTCTTATCATGGATAAGTCTCAACATAAAACAGGTGTTTTTCGCAAAACCAAATGATATCTCCGAAAGATAGTTAATGGTTTATTCTTTCCTCTCTTCTTGGGTGGCCTTCAGCTGATGTCTTTCTCGGTCAGTGTGCGACCTGATTAACATTATCTCTTAGCATTCTGTTTTGTAGGCCACTTGACCAATTTGAAATTTTCATTATTGCCATGGGCAGATAGCTATGTTTTATTCGCCGCCTCGTAACATAAATTAACTCGATAAATCCGAGATCTTATGAATCTCCTATCTTCTGCGAGAGAAAAAAATATACTTTTTCTTTTCGCAAACGAAAACAAAATCTTCACCACTTTTCTTTGTCAAAAAAAAAATAACATCGCAGTATGTCTTTTCGTGATAGCTTCTTATCGCCTTAATTATTTCAGCTTCTCGCCTTAATTATTTCTCGCTTTTAATTTTCACGCGACCGCTAAATAGTGTCACACTACTAGGAGTGGACAATAATGGGAAGACTTTAGTGAAGAGTAAGGACAATAAAAGAACAAGGTTCAGGAAGACATAAGATGATGATTAAGGTTGCATTTACATTTTTGAAGATTGTAGGTGGCAGGTAAGCATGAAATCTGAAAAAGAATTCCAAAGAAAAAGAAATAAGGTATAGACAAATAGTCCCAGAGTAGCTAAACATGTAAAAACTTACAATAACAAAGTAAGATTGAATAAGCAATCAAAACAAATTTTTTTCTGTCGTTTTTGGAGAAAATGTGTAAATTCCTTGAACGGCTTAAGTGCCATTGCAGATCGCGCGCCATTCACAGGTTACTTGTACATATTTCACAGATTTTCAAAAATTTGATTCCATTGTGTTTTAATTTGTAACATCATCATTCATATTTATATTTACATTTCTAATAAAATATTTCAATTTGTACATCCTAATTCATTTTGTATGTAAATTTAAGCAAATGTGTTTTGTAATGAACATGTAGGATTTAGTGTAAAATTCGTGTAACTTTAAATTATCAAGGCAATATTTATCTTAAAATAAAAGCATTAAAATATATTATCTATCTATCTATCTATCTATCTATCTATCTATCTATATATATATATATATATATATATATATATATCTCAGCCTGTTAATATCTATCTATCTGTGTATCTCACCCTCTTCATATCTATCTATATATCTATCTACATTTTCTCTATTTTTAATCAAGGGCACAATGCCACTAAGACGCAGGGCGATTACAGAGAGTGAAAATGAAAGAGAATGAGAAGATTAAGAATAGGGAGAATAGAAGAAGAAGAAGAAGAAGAAGAAGAAGAAGAAGAAGAAGAAGAAGAAGAAGAAGAAGAGGGGGTGAGGAGGAGAAGGAAAGTTAAGAAAGGAAAAGAATAAAAAAGAAGAAGAAGAAGAAGAAGAGGGGGAGGAGGAGGAGGAGAAGGAAAGTTAAGAAAGGAAAAGAATAAAGAAGAAGAAGAGGAAGAGAAGAAGAAGAAGAAGAAGAAGAAGAAGAAGAAGAAGACTATTTGTAAGCTTATCATTTTTCATCAAACTGTATCGTCTGCATTTTTGTTTTCACCCGTGTTTCTTTACGCAGTGAGTATATCTCCTTTCGCTTTGAGAGAGAGAGAGAGTGAGAGAAAGAGAGAGAGAGTCTGAGAGAGAGAGAGTGAGACAGATAGAGAGTAAGAGATAGATAGATAGAGACAGAGAGATAAAAAGAAAAAAACCAGTAGTATTTGGCCCATCTGCACAAAACCTTTAGATTGATTTATTGATACATCTTTATTATTATATCGGGCGGAGTTCCGTAATAAAATTTTGCTAGATACGCACTTGTGACAATTTTTTTTCTACTCTATAAATGCATCCGAGCAAAGATCCACGCAAACACAGATACATACATACGAACAAAGAAAGATCATATACGGAGGCATCATGTAATATTAGGCAGATTACCTGAATATATGCCATAGGGGTGCTGAAAATTTATCGTCCTAACTCACTTGCCAAAAAACAGGATTCTAATATTTATTAATTTAAATATTGGTTTTGGGAAGAAGGAAGTTCCTACGATGAGGATTTATCATTATTTAAATAATTTACCTGCGGATTATTGTCTTCGTTTTTGTTGAGAAAGAAGAGAACAATAGTCCTGATGTAAATATATGTGTGCATATGTATGCGTGTTCGATAGACAGACAGACAGACTGATAGACAGACAGACAGACAGACAGACAGATAGATAGATAGATAGATAGATATGAACAGATGGGATGAACTGACTGCGATAGATGGGATAGATAGATAGATAGATAGATAGATAGATAGATAGATAGATAGATATGAACAGATGGGATAGATGATATGAACAGACTGGGATAGATAGATAGATGATTAATAGATAGATGATAGATAGATAGATAGATAGAGATATGAATAGACTGGGATAGAGGTAGATATGAATAGACTGGGATAGATAGGTAGATATGAACAAACTAGGATAGCTAGCTAGCTAGCTAGCTAGATATGAACAGATTGGGATAGATATATAGATCAGGAGATAGATAGATAGATAGATAGATAGATAGATGATGAATAGTAGACTGTTATATATATATATATATATATATATATATATATATATATATATATATATATATAGATAGATGGGTTGGGAGAATGAAAAGAACACCTGAATAATAAAAATTTTAGAGAAGATAAAAAGCTGATTTCTGAGCATGGACTAAATTTTTATTTCGCTTATTGAAACTTAGGTCTGTTCTAGTTCCTTTCTTTCTCTATTGATTCCAGACATTTCTCTCCAAGCTTTCTTTTTTTATGCTCACAAAATACTTGCATCTTTATTGTTCCTCTTTTCTATCGGTTTCTAGTTCAACTATCCATTCGCTTCAAATTCTTACACATTTCTTTCCTTTGCTTGACTTGTTATAAATTCTTCAATTCCTTTTTCCTAATTGACTTTTCCTCAAAATTTCGCTTGTCTCGTCTTCTATTTTACAACTTACACTAAAACTTCGAGAAACTTGAACAATTTATGAGCACAGAGCAAGTAAAATGATTATTTTGAAGGATACGGTGAAAACTAAGTATTATAGTAAGTCATTTATATGTGATTATTCTGCAAAATTACTGTTAATATTTCGTATCTCATTACATATTGTCATGGGAACTTACCCATAATAATAATGGACTATTCCTGACATTATAAATACTGCGCCTCTCAAGAGGTATGAGGATGTTGTAATACGAGGAGAGATAAGTGAGAGCATATTGTAAGGACATTGGAATAGTGATACTTGTCGAGACAACATAGTTTCATTCTAACCAAATCTGATAGTCATTACTGATACTACTACTTCTTTGTATTATATTTCTGTTGTAATATATCTTTGTATTCCATACCTGTGTTCGTGTTATTTTTTAATTTTTTTCTAACCTTGGACTGTATATATACTAGCAGCATGGCCCGGCGTTGCCCGTGCTTGATTAAAAAGTCCGACGACTCATACAGCAATCGCTATCACTTCACTTAAAATATTTTTGCCCTTCCTTGCCTTTAAACGAGTGCCCTTTGCCGTGCGGATGTTGCTACATGCCTTATTTCTTGCCTATCTCACACTGCAAATTTTTTCTAAGCTCTATACTAAACATTAAATCTGTTACGAAAAAAGAACTAAACAAAATGAACACAAAACGATCAGCTTTAAAAAGCACTCGTAACTGGAAAAACCGAATGAAAAAAGAATGTTAACAACAAATACTTTTCCACACCCAACCCAGTTCTGCGGAATCAGAATCAACGTTGAGTTTAAGCAAGCGAATGAGCCAATTGGAGTAAAGTGCCATGCAGATTTAAATTTTTCCCACTTGTGACGAATGCAGCAATGGATTTTTTATGCTAGCATGCTAGTTAACATTCGTGTCAGTCAGCTGTTAGCTCTCACGCTGACCAGTAGAATCTTCCTGCCTATTCGTAGCAGCCAGCTATAGGCTCTCACTCTGGCCAGTACAAAATGGCCGCAAACTACATGAAAACTGCCGTAGAAGCATGAAAAAATCGATTATTTCCACTATCGATGGGAGTTGGGAAATGCAAAGTCGGTCTTGTCCTTTCCACTAACTTGGAGCATGTGCATGTAAATTTTGGTGCAAATCCGTCGAAAATTGTAGCCGTGCATTCGTTACACACATACACACACACACACACACACACACACATCCTGCCTTATATATAAATATATATATATATATATATATATATATATATATATATATATATATATATATATAAAAAGGTTTAAAACTAATATTCCATGGTCATAATTTATTCCATTGGAATCGTAAATACGATCCAATTCATCAGACCTACAAATTCAAAAAGAAAACATAAAAAACAACTCCGGAAATAAAAAATAAAATTTAGTGAGAGTGTATGTATGAGAGTGTGGGACGAATGTTAGAGCTATAGAGAGGGGTAACAGACGAGAGAAGGTGGGGGATTAAAATTTAACAGAGAGAAGTTATAGAGAGGGGAGTCAAAGACGGTTTAAGTGAGAGAAATATGAATGTTGTCGGATGTCTAATACATTAAAGATGTAACCGGAAAGGATACATTTTGTGGTGACATACACACACAATATATGTATGTATATATATTTATATATTTTGCATATGTATGTGTATATTTATATATATATATATATATATATATATATATATATATATATATAGTATAGGTAATAAATCCGTTGGTATATAATCCAAATGGATCCTAGTAATCTAAAATATTAAAACTGATCCACAAAAAGAACTCATATATATTTATTACAGCAGAGCATATAAATAGCATTACATAACTAAATTCTGAAAAAGTTATCTCATATGGTGGTTGGTGGATCGTAAATGAAAACTGTTTATCTTCAGTCTTATTAAAAATTCAAACACGAACTCAGTAAATAAACCTGTCTTTAATAAATAAATTACCTTCGGTTGAATAATTGTCGGATAAGACATTTGTTTACATTCGATACGGAGCAGTTTTACGAGTCTGGAAGTTAGTTTATAGTAGTAAATCTATCCCTCATATGGCCGAGTGGTAATTTTTGATTGCAGGTTTGAACGAATATGAAAATTTCTCGGACATTCAGGCCGGTAAATGTTATTTAACACACTTAAAAAAACTTAAATACTTGTACTATAAAATAACAACGTTAAACATATATATATATATATATATATATATATATATAATTTATCAAAGCAAGGCAACAAAGACACTAAGATGCAAGAGTTTAATTAGAGAGATAAAACGTAAGAAAACTTTCAGAAAGGACAACTTTTAGAAACGACAATAAGCGAGCAGATTTCAAAAATATACGTTGCATTTAAATTTCTGAAAATTTTACTTGATAGGAAACCAAGTTAGCCGCAAGAGGATTTTCAAAAACGAGGAAAAATATTATCATAGAATGTACAGTTAGAACTATCAATTTAACAATAGTGTTGTGAGACCTAGTTGCCAATCTAGTACTGCGCTTAAATTCTATCCATCAACGAGGAAACCTCATGAGAACAATTATCATGGACATATTTATATAAAATGCCCCGGAAACCTGTTACGTCGGTGAGAAAGTGATTGAAGTCTAGCTGATAGGAGCGGTGCTAGATGTTGTCAATATTCTCTAGATACAAAACAGATGCGACAAACCAGATGTGACAGCAATGCACGGTCGAAAGTTAGGCATATAAAAGGGTAAGATTTGAGCGAGGAAAAAATTGTCTAGGCCAACACAGTGAACCAACCTTCCTCGCAGAAGACCCAGCAGTTGATTCAATATAATCGACCCACTTCATGTCGTTAGATCAAGAAGGCGCAATGAGTTACTCCATTGGAAGTTAGCATCATGGTTAGATGAAACCTTAAGTTCTATGCTAACAATTTTTTCTATCGCACTTTTCGCGTGTGGAACTCTCTTCCGGATTCTTGCTTCAAAGTCAAATTTAACTTTCAAAAATTTACATGCAATGTCAATCGTTATCTCTTTTCACATATTCTCTCTCACTCAATACCTTCCCTTTCGGCTTAGTGGCTTTATTCCCTTGCTTGGGGTGGGGGTGAAATGAGTTTTTTTAAAAATAAACAAACAAAAAAAATTAAATGTTTTTCTAATTTTTAAGAAACGTAATGGAGGTATTCTGGAAAATATTTGCGATATTTTTTT